ATCTGAAGCTGAATCGTCCTACTGTGTTCAAGCACGATTTTCTGTTGACCTCTTTGGTTGTACAGTTATTCTCATGAGGTTATACTTGGCTGATTCCAGCATTATCAGTTAAATTTTGCCTTGTTCGTGTCACGCGTTTGTTATGCCTGCTCTTTACGACTCCTGATTCATCAGATCATTTCGTCTGTTTCGTCTCACCAGGTCCCGGACGACCTGCCCACAATGCCCAACCTTTGACCTGCTCAGGGGATCCGATAGACCCGAACGAGTTGGCGTTACGTGAAGCGCTTCGAGCTGAGAAGCGTCGACAAAAACTGGAGGAACGACAATTTCGTCTTGAGTCGAAGCGTTGCCGACAACAACAGTCCTCTTCATGTCAGCACAATCGTTGCCCCTCTACTCAGCTGAGCCAACATCAGCATCATCATCAGCAAGAACAACAGCAAGAGCAGAAACAACAACAACAGCAACCACACCTGCTTGCTTTCCAGTACCACTCTCAACAGTATCCTCCATCTCACGCTTTATCCGAAGGCCCGCCTCTTTCGTTCGATGGTCAGGCCGATCTTTTTTCACACTTTAGGGTACCGGCTCATTTGGCATACCAAGCCAAGCCAGCTCATTGTCACACAACCCACCAAATGCTCAGCCCACAGGCACGTCAACCCATCACAGGCCAAATATTACCTCAACTCTCCAGCTCCTGTAGCCCACCGCCTATCAGCGCTGGACTCCATCGGTTCGGCAGCCAAGAAGGCGTCAATAACCCTGGAATCCCTTGCACCGGCTACTTGGACCCGTCTCAAATGATCGCCACTCCAGCAACCCCGGATTCCGAGTTTGTCGACTTACACCCACAAGTAGGACAATCACCTCTGCCCCCCCTAATATACACAAACGTATATATACATATTTATTTATTTATCCAAAATGTGAGGAACAAGATGGTATGGTCGCAGTCTCCCTTTGATAGCAAATTACGTCCAACTAAGTCACCCTGACAACAAGGCCAAGTTGGGACGACAAGGTCAACTCACTTCTATATTAATTTACTTTTAGATATGGATACTTTAACTTATGAATATACAAGATTAAGAGATTCTGGGATCGATATCACCAGAAAATGACGGATAATTTCTGTTGTTATTCAGCCGTTTGGCTTTAATACGAAATTCAAATTGATGCAGTCCACCAACATCTTCCCTCATTTCTAGTGAAAATGGGACTGGGTCGTCATGCCAGTAAATGCACATCTTTGAAGCTGGAACCTATTCTTACAAATGTTTCAAGTTAGCACCAGGTCGAAGATATGAAGACTAAGATGGTGTGGCTTCCGGTATCGAAAGGAGACTGCAGGCATACCGGAGGTCACATCATCTTGGTCTTCATATCTTCGATTAAACTACGGTAGTAAAATTGCCAGAAAATGCATTGAATACAGCCTGACAGAGAAGACAATCTTTCAATCTTACTTTTTTTAAATGTTGTAAACGTTATGGTATCACTCATAAGTTATTTGACCTTAAGATACCATACCACTTGGGTGAGGTATATGACTATCTCCACCAGGCTTTTGTTCAAAAATTAAGTGAGACTAATGTTACAGAGAGGAATAAGCTATTCAAAGCTCCGGCGTGATCTGGCCAGGATTCTGTCTCCGAGAGACTTTCAAAAAACCCAGAGCATGGCCGACAGAAAATCATGTAGGATTTTTGACTTGAAACCAACGCCTAACGGATGTGGAATTGTAGGACAAGGAGCTGGACAAATTGACGAGGATATTGCTCGGCAAGGCTACCCAAGTAAAGTAAGATAAAGAAACATACAGGCCTTAAAGAGCTGATGCAAAAATGGGGATTATAAAAGAAAAGTAAGAATAAAGAAACTCACAAAAGTGGATATGCCTACCTTCCTGCGAACTAACTAATAAACGACGGCAAATATTTAGTAAATGAAATATTCAGGTGGCCATGAAAGAGAAATCAACAATTTTACAAGTCTACCGAAGCAACATGAAAGGGTAGATAAATTGGATTGTTCAAAAGTTTACTGTATATCATGCGGCGTCTGCAAACAGAAATATATTGGCCAAACAGGGAGAAAAATTAGCACACGAATCAAGGAACATCAAAGGCTCTGCAGAAAAATGGATACTGAAAGATCAGTACTAGCGGAACATATCACACAGACTGGACACGAGATCAATTGGAAGGCAACAGAAAGAAGAGCCCCATACGGTGACAACAGAAGAAAGCGGAAGATTAG